AGCCCCCCCTGCATGTCCCCACCTCCCTGCCCTTGGCCCCTCACAATTCGGCAGCCTTTCTGCCTGATTTGTGTCTCATCTGCAGACATCACCCGAGGCTCAGCCCTGGCCCCTGGTCTCCCTCACACACACCCGGCGCCACCCAATTCAGAATCTAGCCCAGGTTCCTGTCCTGCCCCAGCCTGACTATCCCAACACCTTCAGGACATCACCAGGGACAGGTCCCACCTTTACTTCCATCTCAACACGCAGTCTCTCAAACCAGCCCATGGTCCCAGGAAAGCTTTCCAACGTCCTAGTCTGGCTCTGATCCACCCTCCCAGCCATTCCTTCCTCACCCCGCCCCCAGGGCTGGGTGGTGACCTTAAGTGGTGGCCCTGTGCTGAAACTGATTGTGGCTGCCAGACAGTTAAAGGGCATCTTAATCTACATGTTATTGCCTCCTACTGGCCAAACACCTGAACAGCCGTAGGCTATTCCCCAAACTGACAATGCTTCTGTGCCCTTTGAAACCTTACCCTTTGAAGTGTATTATTTCCACCTTGCCTTAGGACAAATTGTGTTAATAAAAGCAAGGGTCCTAGACAAGGAGGGACTCTTCAGTTCCTTTAGCTGAAGGTCCTCTGACCCCCAATGCCTTTCAAAATTATAACTCGTCTCCGGACTCTTTATTAGTCTCTGGGTTTCTATGTCATCTACGCACAGACTTTTTCAGATTCCCGAACCCTTCTTGATGCTGGGACATGAACCCCGGCATAAATGGACGCCCGAAGTGGGACAAGAGCACCAACAATAACCCACAGCCTGCCCTGATGACTGTAGACTCAGAAGCATCAATTATTTTTTTTTTAAAAAATCCTTATTCGAGGATATTTTTTTCATTGATCTTTAGAGAGAGAGTGGAAGGGAGGTTGGCAGGGGAGAGAGAGAAACATTGATATGAGAGAGACACATCACACGTAGGGATGGAACCGGCAACCTAGGTATGTGTCCTTGCCCGGGAATCAAACCCGCGACCCTTTAGTCTGGGGGGCTGATGCTCTGAGAAAACCAACCAGGACATCAGCAGCATCAATTCTTTAAGTAGCTTCCCCACTGAATAAAGTCAAATCCCACTTTCTGTCTCACTCTGGCTGCTCTGCCCGCCCATCGAATCTGATCTATATGCCTTGCACAGTAACTGAACGTCACTTTCCCTGTCTGTGAAATGGGGGTGATCACAGTGCCAGCCTCCGGTGGTGTTGACGATTCAATGAATAATAACGTCTGTAAGGACTTAGAGTAGTGGTTCTCAACCTTCTGGCCCTTTAAATACAGTTCCTCATGTTGTGACCCAACCATAACATTATTTTCGTTGCTAC